AACATGGAGCAGAATACATTTTGGCCTAAATTTATAACTAACTTTGAGTTTACTATATATTTTTTATAGCTGAAAGTAAAAAATATCGTTTTTCTTCAAAATTTTTGGTCTTTTTTTTGTTTATAGCGTGAAAAATAAAAAGCGCACAGGTGATCAAATACCACCGAAAGAAAGCTCTATTTGTGTGAAACAAAGGACGTAAATTTCTTTTGGGTGTGTAGGGCATTGCATGACCGCGCAATTATTAGTTGAATTAGTGCAGCGCCGAGTAGCAAAAAGAGGCCTGGTCATTAAGGGGGGTAAATCCTCAGGTGGGCAAGTGGTTAGAGCAAGTTACTTGCAAGGCCATACATGGCAAAATCTGTATAAAGAGAAGCATAAGGAAAAACTTGAAAAATGAAAAAAAAAAAAATCATGAAGCATGTACAGTTAGTAATTTACATGATAATACAGTAATTATTTCTGCACAAGACCCAAACAGCAGTATGGGGAAGTCTTTAAATGACGCGTCTTTCAATCTACCAGTAGTTATTTAATGTTCACCTAATAAAGTGCAGCGCTGCGCTTTATTTTATTTGGTTATATTTTAAGGTTTACTGCGATTACCTTTTAGTGTTTCAGCTGCTGATATAAGAGCGCTCGCTTTTATTATATTATACCGATTTAATGTTCACCTGCCCAGCATAGAGACACCTTACTTTTTTATCATATCAACAGCTTAAAACATTTTTACCTTGTTGCCATTTTGCAGTATTACAACAAAAAAAAAACCTGAAAGAGTTATAAAATTTGCAAACAAAAACCAACAGCAATAAAAATATAAATTCTCTCACCATTTTAGCTAAAAAGAAATTAAAAAGAATCTATCCAAAGTTACATTTTTTATTTTAATGCAAATATATATAAATAGTTTTTTTTAATTAAAAAAAATAGACGTCCTATTTATTTTAACTGAATATGGTGATGATTACTGTTGAAATAATTATCTTTTATATAATTGTTTTTAATTTATTTTATTAATGGAAGTGTAATAAAATATACATACGTTTGAAACACTTATTCAAATATAGAACAGTAAAGCCTAAGACCTATCAAAAAGGCATAAAGACACATTAGGTTATGAAATAAAATATAAAAAATAAAAAAAAAAACACAACTGATTACAGACAGCAGAAATAGAGTACTATATAATTTGTAAAGGCTCACGAACATATATTCTAAAACTCAAACATAGAACAGTAAGCCAAGACCTATCAAAAAGGCATAAAGACACAGGATATAAAAAAAAGGCTCACAAACAATATTCTAAAAAACTCAATATAGAACAGTAAGCCTAAGACCCTATCAAAAAAGGCATAAAGACACAGGATATAAAAAAAAGCTCACAAAACAATATTCTAAAAAACTCAAAACATAACAGTAAGCCTAAGACTTATCTTAAAGGCATAAAGACACACTTGGATATAAAAAAAAAGTTAAAAAAATTAACATGATGATTAAAGACAGCAACTCAAACATAGAACAGTAAGCCTAAGACCTATCAAAAAGACATAAAAACACAGGATATAAAAAAAAAAAGGCTCACAAACAATATTCTACAACTCAAATATAGAACAGTAAGTCTAAGACCTATCAAAAAGGCATAAAGACACAGGATATAAAAAAAAGGCTCACAAACAATATTCTACAACTCAACATAGAACAGTAAGCCTAAGACACCTATCAAAATGGCATAAAAACACAGGATATATAAAAAAAAAAGGCTCACAAACAATATTCTAAAACTCAAACATAGAACATAAGCCTAAGACTTATCTAAAAGGCATAAAGACACAGGATATATGCTTTGAAATTGACTAATCAGCAATCAAAATGTGTAAAAAATGCATTTATCTTAAATAAAATAAAAAAAAAAGATGGCAGTTTCTAAAGGGATTCACTCTTCCCAGCTAAGGATTTTAATTATTTAATTTAAATGTAATAAATACAAATACGTTGTTGCAAAAATAAGTGACAATATGGACTAGTGAAACAAATAATAGTAATTATATATAAATTGGAAAGGGTATGTGAATATTGTACTGAATAAATATAAAAGTCTAAAATTAAATAAAATGTCCAATTTACTCACCTAAGGAAAAGCTCACAGCCATTCACAGGAAAGGATGAGATATTTCACCAGTAGAGGAATTGAGACAATAGAAAACAAAGAATTTTTCATTGATTAGACAGTGGTTATAAATTATTATATGTAACAAGATCTCTATTGTAGAGTGAAAGTACCAAGAATTTTCATCCCGAACTACAGCTGATTATATGGTCAACACTAGGCTTTTCAAATATTTATATTAGCAGGGCCCTACCAGCCGTAGGATTCTACCCTGTCATCCATCCTCATCATTTCCCTAAATTTGTACTGCAGTTTTTTCAGCCTATGCCATGTAGTACTCAATGTATTTCCACCTAGTTGTTAAACCTAGGCAAACATAGACTGGGAACTGAACTTGGTGACCTAACAAGACCTCTAATATAGAGCTAGAGTCTTATTTTCAACTTATTGTAAGAAAATAAAGTCATATGCAGCAATTTCAGGATGGTGTGTTGGGACCATTCTAATTATTCCTTCCCAGTGAGGCTCATATAGCAATAATTATTTTTTTTTACCTTGTTGTCTACAGAAGAAAGTACAGACAAAGCAAAGTTTAAAAGAAGGGATACCACTTGTTAGGTTCTAATGGTATATTTTGACATTTTTAAATAAAACTTTTCTGTCCAATAGTGGATGTTTATTTTATTATTAAAAGTAAGAGAAAAAAATTTGAAATATTTGCTTTAAATGTCCCAGTTTTCTACATTTGGATATCAAACAGCTTTATTTCTTTCGATCTCTTTCTTTCACCTAAATAACCTACTTCCCCACTTTTTTCCTCAAATAAGTTTTACCATCAGACTTATTTTTTTGGGTACCAAGTCTTCCTAGAAAATATGTGAGAAAATATTTTGCATATTTTATTTGTGTTTTTTTTTGTTTTTTTTTTTTAATACTTTTCATTTACCAGGTTGGGAAAAAACATGCCTGGGGCAAAATATTGTCAAATAAATGTATATATTAAATACAAAGGAAAATGACAAAGGAAAAGTAAATAGAAATAGTTTCAGAGTTAAGCTGTATCCATTTCTTGTAATTCCCTGACTGCTGTGCAGAAAAAAGTAAAATTAAATTTTGCTGAGATTTCTTTCAAGATGGAAAATATTGAATGCATCTGCCTCTACCTTTTCTATTTGTTTTTTTCCTTTTTGTGCTGCATAACATTGACATTGAACACAACTGGAAGTTACATCAGGAATCCGGTGGAAAGTTACAGCCACTGAGAAGAAAAAAATGTTGTGGTGACTATAAAATTATGAAAAAAACACAGTGAACCATCTAATAACAGAAGACCTTCGGGGGTGAAAAATTAGCATTTTAAAATGAAGGGGAATGGGATTGCATATTTTGGGAAGCATGAAAGTTCTTAATAAGCAGTTTTATGGTTTAGCAAATATATATATTTTTAATTTTTAGTTTAAGTTACATTTCTGCAGTTTTTTTTATTTCAATTTTGTTACCTTTTCTTCCTGTGCTTTAATCCAGGTTCCTGTTTAATTCCTGAGGTAAATGTCATGTTTCTGTTGGCTCGGTAGACCTTCAGCCTAGTATATATACCTGACTGGCAATATTTGACTATTTTAAATGAAAGTTTTTTGTTTATTATTGTCACTGCCAAAAAAGCAATGCAAATACCCTGACATTATAGTACCAGAAAAGAAAAACTAATTTGGAATAATAAAATATTTAAAAAAAATAATAAAAAGGGATAGCATGATTGTCTAATCCTACAAAATGCATCAGTTAAAACTAATGCTATTTGTTTGCCTTATTCTGAAATACAGGTTTTGCATCCTTAAAAACAGACATGTCTTTGCAAGGGTTTAAAAAACACCTCAAATATGGTCACCTGGGAAGCACTTTTCTCGAAAACCTTCTGCATGTTCCCCTAAAACATCCTTTGGTAACTGAATATCCAAATCACTTAGACTGTTTTCTGTACTGAGACCCTCCTTTGCTCCTTTTTATTATCACTTTCTCTTCATACCATTAAATCATCTGATCGGGCCCTGCTGCTTGCTTTACTTAATCTACTGAGGGACCGGGAATCTGGAATTAATTCAAAACTCAATAAAGGCAACTCAAGGCCTGTAGGTTCTGGTTCAAAAACTTCTTCTGGTTCTGGAGGCACAGGTTGAGGAAACCCATGATCTGATGGGGCGGGATCAGAACCATGTGGTCTGAGAGAGCTCTCGAGGGAGTACTCTCGTTTTCTGAAGGTGAGGTAACAGTTTCTTGGGGGCTTTCTACAGGAGCATCATCTAAATGGACATTAGAAGCTGCTCGAGAAGGCTCAGGAGCTGCATGTTCAGATGGAGCATGCTCTGATGCTGCTTGTGAGGGAGCTCGGTCTGAGAGAGCATGCTCAGAAATAGCTTGAGATGGAGCTCTCTCAGAAGGGGCGTGTTCAGAATTTGTCCGAGAAGGAGCTCGCTCTAAGGGTGCATGCTCAGATGCTGCCCGAGAGGGAACTCGCTCAGAAGCGGCATGCTCAGAACCAGCATGGGAGATGGCTCTCTCTGAGGGTGCTCTTTCAGAGAGTGCATTGTTAGAAGGTACTCTTGCAAAGGATGCACGTTCAGAAGGAGAATGCTCTGAAACTGCATGGTCAGAAACTGCACGTGATGGTGCTTTTTCAGAAAGGGCACGCTCAGAGGGAACACGGTCAGAGAGGGCACGCACCGAAGGAGCCCTCACTGATGAAGCTCGCTCAGATGGAGTTTGTTCTAAGGTCTCAGCCACTTGCACTTTCACCACCTCTTGCTCTTCAGCTTGGCTGTAGGAGGGCAGAGTTTCATCATATGCCTTTGAGATGTCTTCCAGGAGTCCTGTGCTGCTTTTTTCATAGCTGTTAAATTGTGTAGGAAGTGGGACTAGCTTCTAATCCCACTTCAGTCATTGGGTAGAAATGGGAGACAACCTTTTCTTCCTCCAACAATTTGTAACCCTTAGACTTTGGCATGGAAGAGATGGCTATGGAGTGCAGGGGCTTCTGTGAAACTTCTCCCAGCTGTTGGGGTTGATGATCTGCCGACCTTCGGAATGCAAGACGGATCTTTTTCCATCCCAAGTGGCTGATCTCTACCACATTTAGAAAAAGCGACACTGCTGCCACAGCCAACATGAACATTATGAACACAGTCTTTTCTGTAGGCCTGGAGACAAAACAATCTACTGTGTTCGGGCAAGGCCAACGGCTGCAACGGTACAGTGGGAGGATCCGGAAACCATACAGGAAATATTGGCCAACCACAAAGCCCACCTCAAAAAGTGTCTTGAAAATAATATGACAAATGTAGGTTCTTAAGAGGGTTCCTTCTAGTCGAAACTTCTTAGTACCCTTAGTACTTGTTTCCTTATTGGTTCGAATGCTCCCTTGATCAGGAGCCAGCGGCAGCCTCTCTTCATTCATTTCCTGCTGCCTACTCATTTCTGCCTCTTCTCGCTCCTTTCTTTTCTCTTCCATCCGCACGTGGTGTACAGCATGCCCCACATACACCAGGGATGGTGTGGAGACAAAGATGATCTGCAGGACCCACAATCTGATGTGGGACAGAGGAAAGGCCTCATCATAGCAGACATTCTCGCAACCAGGCTGCTGGGTGTTGCATACGAAATCAGACTGTTCATCTCCCCACACAAACTCGGCAGCTGTTCCCAAAATGAGGATCCGGAAAATAAACAGGACGGTGAGCCAAACTCTACCGATTACAGTGGAGTGTTCATTCACCTCCTCCAAAATGTTCCCCAAAAAGCTCCAGTCTCCCATTGTCTACAAGCTGCAAATAAATATACAGAGAAGAAAAAATAATTAGTTCTTCCATTAGGAACCATGAGATACTTTCTAAAATTGTAACACTAAACACAAGTATGGTATTTATCTTGTTTTACCAGTTAATGTGTGAAAATGAATATTTTGCAACATATTCCCTATTATATTTACAAAGATCTACTCAACAGCTGCCAATCTCTTGAAGGGTAACCTTTCAAAACCATGGGAGAAATGTGCTTGTATATTGTAAGTAATAACCCACTTTTCATATTTCAAACAATAAATAATTTCTTCAAGTAAACAGAAGATGAAAATAACCAACCAAGATGTACCAACATGAGTTATCATTAAGCAATACTTTTATCCCTTCTGTAGTATCTGTGTCCTATATGGTCTGCAGATATCTGGATACTACAATGAACAGCTTATTAACATCAACAATACATTTGCAAAACAAACGTTTAATTATTTTTTTCCTCAAAACATATTATTAAAATGTTTAAATTAAAATGAGCAGTTTTCTTAAAATATACGCTTCATAAAACGTTAAACAATGGTTTAACAAATAGCAGTTTTAAATGATTGTTAAAAATATAAAATTAATAGTATTTATTAATTTTACAAATCTCTCCACACAAAAATATAAATGAAATTGCATATATAAAAAAAAAACACCAACCAACCAACCAAAAAAAAAACCAAACTAGATCAGGATATATTTTTATAACTTGTGTACATTTCTCAATCATAAACTAAGCTCTTTCGAAATAATTGTTTTATTAAAAGAAAACAGTCAATCCATTTAATTAGAGTAACATAAAGTATCTAACACGCTAAATTAATCAGATAAAAGTATCTGTGTGACATATAATCTGAATCCTTTCCATTAAATCCTGAAAAACAAAATGTTGGTCCGTCTTCATAGAAAACAATATAGCAAACTAAAAACCCTAAAAGTTAGTAGGAAAAGACAGAGAAGAGAAAAGCTAGGTAAACGGTATATAGTGGGCAACTTGCCACAGTGACAGCTCCACGGGAAGAATACGTTCCCTCTCTTGGCACTCTGCTATCAAAAGTGAACTTATGTTTCTGTCCTTTCCTACCTAAAGTCCCAAACTATCGCACGACTGAGCAGATGTGACTCAATTGACCCTGATGGGAGGGTTTTAGTGTTCGCCAATATTTAAGCTCCCAGCTAGACAGCCTTTATGAGAGAATGACAATTGGTTACATTAGGAACAATAGGCAAGACCGGGGTACAGACAGCACTGAAGTAGAAATATATGGATTATAAAGTGGGCAGAAAATGTGTGCCTAGGTATATATTTTACAGTGGTATAGCTTGATCATATACAAGGTGTTCAAAAAAAATGTTTACAACTTCAGTTCTCTATATAATACTTTCTACCACACCATAGATTACTACACGAGGTTATTTAGTCAATGCAGCTCATAAAGGTTTAAATACAAAGTGTTGACAAGTTTTCTAATTTTTTTTTAATTACCACCTCTACTGTCTTCTATTTTTGTGTGTGTGTTCTTTGTACTTGGAATTGGTATTTTACTGAATTTTCATCCCATTTACTAAACTAGTTCAAAGTTCTCGTGCGAGTCAAAATTCACTTTAAAAAGTGAAAATGCTCTTTTCCTTAGTAAATCAACCCTACTGCTGAATGGTTTATTGAAACAAAATCAAAAGGCAAATCCAAATTCCTTATCGTTGACCTTATCTTCAACCATAAGGAACATCTTTTATACCAAGTTTAAGAGATATTCCTTATGTAATATCTTTTTTTTTTTTAGCAAGCTCTATGGTTGGTCTTGATGGAGGCGATCCCTTATAATGATTTCTAAACCATTGTTGGACTTGCAGATTTATTTCTGTTATAATAAAGCATTCAGCACACAGTGCTTTGTGAATGAAGGGTGGAATTATCTGGGAAAAAAGTTTAGACGCCATGAGGTTGATTTACTAAAGGCAAATAGGCTGTTCACTTTGGAAAGTTGCACATTGCAAGCGAAGTTGTCGTACTGCTTAGTGAATGAGGTGAAACTCTGTTGACTTCCATTGTCTCATTGGGGTTTATTTACTAAAGCTGGAGAGTCCAAAATCAGACTCCCTTCTGCATAGAAACCAATCAGCTTCTAACCTCAGCTTGTTCAATGAAGCTTTGGCAATGAAACCTGGAAGCTGATTGGTTTCTATGCAGAAGGGAGTCTGATTTTGGAATCTCCAGCTTTAGTAAATAAACCCCATTATGTCCAAGCAAATTGCTGTTTTTTAATTTTCATTGCAAGTGATTTGGTATTTTTTGTACAGTGAAACTTCACTACATTCACTCCACTCTGAGACAAATTCTCTTGCAGAGTATAACTTCCCTTGCAAAGTGAACAGGCTATTTACCTTTAGTAAATCAACCTCCATATTGTAAAGTGCTGCACAAACTGTTGGCGCTATATAAATCCTGTATAATAATAATAATATATAGATATGATTCACAATTTTAGGGGTAAAGTGCTACCAATTGTGTAATGTTTATATGCTGTATGCCAGTTAATACCTTCCAACCTGCAATCTGTTTATCAATGTTTCACATTGCAATGCCTCATACTTGGGTTATGTTAAAAAAAACTCCCTGCTCACTGAGGACAGCTGGGATCCCCACTGAGAATCGGGAACCAATCAGAGTGGTTCTCGATTATGTGATCACTTTGTCACCTGTGACAGTGATCACATGAAGGCTTGAGATGTCATTGATAAAAATAAAAGCCTTTAGCTTGCAGATGAACAATGCCACCCTCTGGCTACAGTGTTCATCTATAGTTCCATACTTTTTAATAGTGTAACTGTCAGATACAGTTGCATTATTGAAAATTTAAATATATGTGCGTTTTTGTTCTTGTGAATTTGTATTCCTATATTAGAAATAGATCAGGGTATTTTGTGACCAAATAAAAACCTTATATGTCCTTAGAAAAATGAAAAAGAAAATAATTTAGGTATGAAAAATAGTCATACAGCAAGGTAACTGAAGCAGGCTGATGCTGTTAAATGTGGCCTTGGCATTTAAAATGGGTTAACCCATAATCAAACAATAGAAAAGACCCCCCCCCCCCAAAAACATTTTTTATGGCTATAAGTTTAAAAAATGTGCCACAGTTATTAATAATTACCATAAGGCATATTTTATTAATCACTGCTAAATGTTTACACTACATCACAAAACCCTGCAGATAATGAGTTTATTCATAAAGAATGGGCATACCTATGTAAAAAATATGTAAAAAATACCATTCCCCCTATCCTCAGCAATACCATATATACCATATATACTGTATGTTAATGATTAAATGGCTACATTAATCTTCCAGTTAGAAGTTACTAATGCATCCCTTCTTTTTCAAGCATCATTTACCATATATATATATATATATATACTGTATATAGTGTGTATAGAAAAGAATCTCTTTAACATAATCACATTTTGTTGCTTCGCAGCCTGAAATGAAGACAGACACAGTTTTGTTTTATCCAGCTGTATTTACTTATAACATCCAAGTAAAATATATCACACCAACATGTCAGAAAAAAAATTCAAAAACAGAATAATTTGAGTTGGGAAAAAGGATCATCCCCCCTTTGTGTAAATATTTTATTTTGTTGAACCAACATTTGCTTTATTTCCAGCCTTTCGTCTGTTGGGATATGTCTCAGCTAACTTTGCACATCTAGACTTTGCAATATTTGCCCGTTCTTCTTTGCAGGACTGCTCAAGTTCAGTTAAATTTGATGGTTTGTGGACAGAAGTGTTCAAGTTATTCCACAGATTTTCAATGGGGTTTAAGTCTGGCCTCTGACTAGGCCATGCAAGGACATTCACCTTTTTCTCCTCCAACCACTTTGTGCTCATTGTTGCTGTGTGCTTGGAGTCATTGTCATATTGGAAGGTAAACTTTCTTCCCATTGACAACTTTCTGGCAGAGGGCAGCAGATTTTCCTCAAGCGTTTGATGGTATTTGGCCCCATCCAGTTTTCCTTCTATCCTGACAAGTGATCCAGTCCCTGTTGCAGAAAACCCTTCATAACAGGATATTCCATCCTTCATGCTGTATTGTAGGAATGGTGGTATTTGGACGGTGAGCTGCACTGAATTTATTGTTCACATATTGTTTAGCTTTGAGGCCAAATCATTCAATTTTAGCCTCGTCTGACCAGAAATACTTTTTCCATGTGGCCTCAGAAACTTGAAGGTGCATTTTGGCAAAGCTCAGTCATGACTTCATGTGGCCCTTCTTGAGGAGCGGCTTTTTTCTTGCAACCCTTCCGTACAAGCCACATTTGTGGAGGATTTGTGATATTGTTGTCACGTGCACACAATGACCACTCTGTCACAAATTCCTGCAACTGCTTCAGAATTGCTGTAGGCCTTTTTGTAGCCTCTCTGATCAGTTTCCTCCTGGATCTTTTATCCAATTTGGAGCAACGTCCTGATCCAGGGAGGGTCTGTGTTGTATCAAATACTTTTCATTTCTTAATAATAGACTTCACTCTGCTTCTAGGCATTGATAAAGCCATTGCCATTTTTTTGGATCCATCTCCTGACTTGTGCCTGTCCACAACTTTATTCCAGAGATCTTTTGATGCCTTGCCAGACATAGTTGACTGGTTGCTTCAGCTGCACGATCAGGGACTGAAATGCTGCAGGAAAGCTCTTTTCAGGCTGAGCTAATCAAAATGACCACAGCTGATCACAGCTGAAAGTCAAATGGCTTTGTGTGTCATTGAGAAGGTAATTAGCTACACCTGATTGAGTTTTAAGTCATTTTTAATATGAGGGTGATCCTTTTTTTTTAACTCAGTGATTCTGTTTTTGAATTTTTCTGACATGTTGGTGTTATATCTTTCACTTGGATGTTATATGTTGTGCTGAGTACATACAGCTGGATAAAACAAAAACTGTGTCTGTCTTCATTTCAGGCTGCAAAGCAACAAAATG